AGATCCCATGCCAGGATATGCCAGGGACGCACACTCGCTTGGAATTTGAGGCTCCTTGCGAAATCCACTCTCCGCAAATCGCGTGCATTTCTAATGAAGACCTCGTAACACGAAAAAAAACCCAACCCCTGTTGCGCTCAGGATTCAGCGCGGGACCGACAAGATCGGTCAATCCACAGAAGGCCCACAGCATCAATAGATGATGTTGCGTAAGAGAAGAACAGCTGACGAAACAACCAAAGCCGCCGACGGCACCCATTCTCTGAGGCGGGACCGTTACATCACGCGGGGTTGTGCTGCGATATGAGAGAAGTCTTTCTGTACCGGGCGACCACATCAGCATCGGCCGCCAAAATCTGACGCAGCTCTTCAGGCGAGCCGGCCTGTGTTTCGGTCAGTGATTTATGAGTTTCAGGGAGGCAGTCTGTTGTCCTGGGCCTAGAGACTCAAGCGATTGGAGAATCCGTTGGGGTGGCGGCCGCATGTGATACACATCGCACCTACCTCAAGCAGCAACCTTGCCTAAATCCCGCATCTTTACGTGAAAGCCTCACGTGTCCCTATCTTCCAAGCACGTTACAGACCCTGACCTCAACTCAAAGGGCACATGTCGATGCGAAGTCTGTGCAAGATGGTCTGCATGCATTCACATGTACAAGCAGGTAGGGGAAGCCAAGAAAACGAGACATCGACATACAGACAAAAACGTATCACGAGCGGGCACAGAACAAGTACGAGGCCCAGGGTTGAGGCATAGGCACACTTCTGGATAGGTTGTGGGAGTGCGCGGGATGACGAGAGATCACGACACAGGAGACACATGGAAACAAAGAGATGAGTGTGTGCATGTGTGTGCCAGAGTGTGTGAGTGTACATTCATATATATATATATATTATATATATATAATATATACAAAATGTACAGACAGGAAATGAAGGCTTGATACTGCACCCGGGTAGCCAGGTGAATGCCACGTCCTTGGAGGCCTTTGGAAGGCTTGACGATAACCTGTTCAAGCACATGGGCTTCTGGTTGAAAGTAAAGTAAAGGATCCGATGGCATGCTCAGGTTGACGTGTCCTGTGAGGTGGATGAGCAAAGGCTCGGAAAGCTTGCAGCTTGTTTGAAGAATGATGAAAGCGAAGTATTCTTGTCCTGAAACTCCGAGCTTTCCTCCGAAAGTCCCGAGCAAGCTTGTGAACTCTAGGGGCCCGCGATGCACAAGTTTAAAAGGCTCGACTAAAATAGCCCAGTGACGACGCTCTCCTTCGCAACTGAGAAGTCAAGGTCCTGTGACAGTTTCTGCTCTCACCACAGCCGAGCATTAAGCGCGTAAGAACAGATCTGAGTCGGTATGACGAGCCAACATCCAATCGTATCGAAAAGGAGCAGCTTCCTGTGTGTATGATACCAAAGGAAAAGGAATTAAATCTCAATCTAGAGATGTAGTTGTCTCAGGCAGCTTCACAACACGAGCCATCAAATTGACATGAACTGAGTGGGGCCGACTCCTTGAAGTCTGTGGCTCGTGACCAATCGTCATCATTGAACGGTGAGCTCCGCGACGCTATACATGTTACCACACCAGGGCCCTAGCAGTGCAGCGGTGGCCTGTGGGCGCCAGGATCTTGGCCAAAAGGGCGCCGCGACAGCCTGTGGGCTTCAACTACGCGCGAGGCCGGCAGCTTGCAAAGGCCCCAAATCAGTGAACATTGAGAGAATGCAGACAGCTCTCGTGTGGAGGTTCGAAGTTCGAAGGTCCACAAAACATCTTCAGACAGGGTGTTGGCAAATACCCGCTCCCCAACCTGCAGCCCTGGACCCGGTCTGGCCCCACCTCCAGCGCAGAGGCAAGCGCGGCCTTCTCACAGACCTCTACAGAAGCATCCGAGCTGAAAGGAAAAGGTATCTGATTCTTGTGGCCTCTAACTTGGCTTTAAAAAGGACCCGCTGAAACAGATCCAGGCGGGGCTCTGATGCCTGCGGAGTCGCACGAAAAGTTGTGCAGTGACTGCCAGTGGCCCCACCGGCCTCGTGCATCCCTGGGATGTGGCTGAGCCGGGCTTTCTGGTTCAAGTTCAGGAGGCACGTCCCAAGATCCTGCTCTCCACCCTCCCTCGAGAAGATTAGCCAGTACAATCTGCCACTGGCTATTTGGCTGCGGTCGAAATACAAAAACAGAGCTGCAAAAGTTGTACCGTGAACACTGCATCCAAAAGCAAATGTGTTCGTGAAGCATCCAACACCAAATAACCGGTCTCCGTGATTGAACACAGCTAGTGGCAACCCTTGAGCAGCCAGTCCTCCTTTCGCCTGGACAGGTTAGGGGTCAAGATTTCATGGCGGTTGCTGGAAATCCAACTTTGACCTACCACAAAGAACTCACAACGCGTTGCTTACGACATGATGTGCACGCATCGCACTATGCCTGGCTGAGACTTTGAATCTCACGCTTTGTTGGCTGTCGGTCCGGCAGCCGGGCGCTTAGCCCGGCAAAGCATTCTACATGACTTTGCCTGGAAAGCGCGCACGGCAAACATCTGGTCGGCTTGTGACGTAAGGCGCCTTCTTACAATCTCTTTCCTACCTCGTCCCACAATCACATAGCCTCCAAGTCTGCGCTGAAAACACCCCACCAAGTAAGCAGAACTCACGAGCAACAGTTACGCTGAAGAAGCCCGACTGACATGTCTACGGCACCTGCAAACCCTAAACTCTCTAAGCCCTTTGCACGACCCACACGATGTGGCCACCACTGTGCGCAGTCCTCGGCTGTGAGAGGACTAGCCACTATGGCATGTACAGGCAGCATTCGTCTTTCTAATAGCGGGAGTATACACAGCCTGTAGCAACAAGAACATGTGCCTTCTCGAGGGAACTGCTGGAGCGATGGCAAGCACGGAGCTTGTACAAACCAGCAGCCAAACCAAACAAGAGCATACGTGAGAAAGACTTTGAAGTCAAGAACGCGCAGGTTGCTAAGAGACACAGTACAGGGGAGGCAAAGTAAAACACATAGAAGAGTTTCGTGGGCTGGAAGCAGCAGCCGAATCAGGGAGATTGCTGATGGCGAGTTTGCGTGGCAGCTGGCACCGCCAAAGCTACCAAGTTCGGGCGCAGCAGTATCGCTTTAGCAAAGCTTGTGCTGTCCGTTTCCATAGGAGTACCTCCTTATCCGACATGGAGAACGTGCCATGACGCTAACGACATGACCGCGAGAATGGTGTTTTGCTCATGCCGCCACAGCTACGTGCAACCACTCCCGCTTCAACTTCCACCACCCGAACAGAGCCGCTATTGTGAAAGACAAAGGGTCTCCCAGCCCTGCTGCTTGGACACCAGCTCCAGTGCCTCCCAAGCCGAGCTGGCCGATTTGAGGTGGCAGTTTGTCGCTTGATCAAGCACCCCCTTCAGGCCCTTCAGGGTACTGAGTCCCTGCACGGCTTTTTCGAGCTTCGCCAGCTGCACACTTGCGTCAGTGCTTGGTGCATATGTTGCGGACATGAGACTGGAGAACAACACAATGTCTCTTAACAGGCATAACTAGCCCCACCGTGGGTCCTTCCAACCATTCGACGACTTTGACACCGGAATCCGAAATCCTCAACCGTGTTTTGCATCAGGACCTGTGAAATCGATAACCAGGACTGTAACACTCTGGACGCCCCAGCTGAGCGTAGGTAGCTCGCTCGGGACTTCCAGCAACTGCACAAGAGCCACTCTCCGGGCTCGCTCGTGCTCTGCTTTGTGATTAGAGGGTTTTTCATGGCGAAGCTAACCATTGTACGTAGCTGCAACACAGTCGATGTTCTGATTCTGCTTAAGCGACCCAAACGAAGTTTGGAAGCTTGCCGTATGGGGGGCTATGACGCCCCTCACTGTGAAACTGACTGCATTGAGTCAGCAAAGGCCTATCACTACTACTACTGATCTGGTAATGGCAGGCTTCCCGAACTCGTTGAAGCAATATCTCCGCCGGCGCATGTACTCACCCCTGACACTCAAATCTCTGCCAAACCTGGCAAGGCATTCGCTTTGCCGTCGAATAAATTACTCGCAACAGAAACAGCTAGACTCTTCGTAGTTCGTGGGACCTATGCAGAATGCCGCCGGCGACAGCGAACTACGAGGGCACCAAGCTAACAACACAACGACAGTGAAACCAATACGTAGACTGACTAGCACACACACGACACTTCAGAAGAGCATGAGTGGCACCCCACAAGCAACAGCCCATGAACCAAAAACTGAACAGCTACAGATTGACGACTACGTGGCGACTAATGCGAGAGCAACAGCATCAGCACCAACAACTGTAGAGCAGCGCGAAGCAGCATGTGCACCAGCAGGATAGCTACAGCAAATATCGGCATCGATGTAGTGGGCACAGGAAGGTCACCTGCTAACAACTTCGGGCATGCCTCGGAACCTGAGAAGCTGTCTGCAAACCTGCTCTGCTAGTGAATGCTCTGTTCGAAAGACTGCCAAACCGGCCACTGACTCATTCAAGCAGAAGCTCGAGGACGAAAGCCGCCCATGCAATCCATCCAAGCGACAGCCTGGAGTTGACCAAGCGCACCCTGAAGCAAAAGCTTTGATGCCATGCCAGATGTTCCAACCTGTCCCGGGTTGGGACCGTTCCCATGCATTCAATCTCTGATCACGAAGATCTCACCTCCCAGGCAGCACTGTGGAGTATACCACGGCTCTCGTCCTCCGACAGCTGTGATTGAAACGGAGCCAGTGTGATGCTATAAGCCATCATCTTCGCAGCCCTCAGTTGATACCTATGTACACTTTTCTGCTAAATACTAAATATTATTATACACATTATGACATTGCCAAGTTCCTCGGAAACCAAACTGTGAGACTTTTAGTAGTCGTTGTCACGGGCGCATGTCACGCTGGCTTTCAGCTGGACCTCTGATGATGACTCGTTGGCTCGAAAGCCACACGCTTCTGCTGTGAAACGGGGGCGCGCGCGCCCTCTGGCTCTGCGTTCAGAGCAGACCGACAAATCTGAGGAGGACCAGGCACAACAGAGTGAAGAGAATCAGTGGGATCACCTCAGCAGTCAATTTTAAGGGGCTCGAGGCAGTTGTCTGTGGAGGGTGACCAGTCAGGCCACTGCAAATTAGAGATTAGCCGACTTGCCCAGCATCATGAAGCTGGCACGATGCCAAGGCTAGGCAGGTCGCCTTCTTCATGAGGCCAAGGTCAGGCAAAGACAAAGAGAAGCCGCCAAGGACGTCGCCCCAACCTCAGCGCTTCTGCGGCTGTCAACACGGACCCACCGATGGTTCAAACCAAGGACCGGACAAAATCAACCCGGAAACGATCAAGCTAGCTTGCTGGCACGGCGTGTGGGTGCTACTTGGGAGCTCGGTTTGTGAAGTTTTTCCACAAGCTCCGAAGTCAGCTAATGTCAGAAATCCAGGCATAGAGAAAAAGCAGAGCCAAGCCGCCGCGACCCTCTGCCGGTGTGACAAGCTGAGGGAAGTCGTTGGGGTCCTCGCGTCCTTTGCCTGCCATTCTCAGATCGGGACCGCGGGGATTCTTGAAGGCACACGGTATACAGCTTTCGTATTTCCATCTTCTCCATGGTGGATTTCAGTGGCCACTTCAGCGCTGCACGGGGCTGTAGGATGTTCAGAGAATTTGTCCGGACCGGTCAAGGCATGACAGGTGTTATTGCGAATTGTCTATATGCAAAATACCACGGCTTATGGTTTGGGGAGGTCTTGTGGAATTCCCTTGACGCAGGGACACTGTTGACGGGTCGAGGTGCCGTTCCGCTTCTGGTTGGCCTCGCTCTGTGTCATAAACCACCTCGGATGAAGAAAACCGTGCAGAGACGCAGAGTTAAGTCTCAGTAATTTCTGATGCCATCCTCAAGTTCAATGCGTCATGTCATGTCTGGACTGTCTGCAGTGGTACAGTGGGCTTATATATGTTGAAACCTGTGCTGACCAGCCGGCCATTCGTCTGGAAAACGTTGCAAGCAATTTACTGGACAAGCAAGCCCCGGACCCAGAGCTGTCAACTTGCAACCTAGCTAACCGGATCGTATAGCCAGCGGTGCGGGACGTGTAAGTACGGCATCTGCCAGTAACCACGCCACCAAATACATCTTATCTGCGACACTTCGATCCAGAACGGTCCGTAAAGTCCGAGACGCATCTCGAACTGCACGGAGCCAACCGTCTCCTCGTCTTGGGCGCGATGGTCCCATGCATGTGAAACAAGCAGATCATCTTCCAGTTCAACCCTCGCTCGCTGCAACGGTGTCTTCCCACCACCAGCCTCTACTATGTGGGGTCGTTAGAACATCATCTCGAAGAAAACTCTTGGCACGTTGGTGGTTCCTGCACGAGGCCCTGCCCTTCTGAGCATAACACATGCACCATACTAGCATTTATATATAACCCATCGCACATCTCTGCCACAACTTTTTGGAAAAAAAAAGTCGCAAACCTCTTGACTGAAAGCCCCACTCTCCGACTCCTCCTCTGCAGCATCGGCCCCATCGCCACCTTCCTCGCCCTCGCCGGCAGCGCCTGCGGTGAACTGGAGATCGGCCTTTTCCTCGGTGGGAGGCCGCAGATTGGGACCCTCGGCTTCTGTGGTACTGGTGATGGCTGCGAGAGCGAGCATGCCGCTGATGACGATGAGTTCTGGGGAATATGTGCTGATCGTGAGGGCCGTTATCGAATCTTCGCCATCAGCATGATATCGGTGTTGTTCGTCTCCCTGCTGTCGTCATCATCTTAACATTGAACATCATGAGTGAGTCTTCCTTTCTCCTGTGTTGTCATTCATTGTTATTCTATGGCTGCTTTTGGTTCAAGGTTCTCGGGCAAATAATTGGTGGGGCAGGGCAGCTTTCGGACAGCATCCAGACCAGGCTCTTGGTCGCGTTGCGTCGCGAGGTACTGGCAGTGAGATCTAATGATATTTCGAGGACCATGCCATTATTCAATGCAGGCGTGCATCGATGTAGATCATGTCCATGTCCCGAGCCACTCTCTCCACATATCTTCGCAAGTCCACGCTCACAGCCCCGATGAATTCGTCGGCTGAGACGAAGTTTGCCTAGCAGGACTCTTGCTCCGCATTTCTACAGGACCATAGAGAAGGCCACGGAACAACTAGGTTGTCTTGCTATCTGGCCATATCGAGCCATGCTGCAAACGACCACCCCTAAGCAAATACATACAACATGATATTTTCATGTGCAGATATCTCTTGCTTTGTTTGGACATCGGCTACCCTTCCCTGTCCGCGACATGCAGCAGTAAAATAACTCAAGTGAGCTCGGGCCATGACCATTTACTACTGTTACCTTCGAGTCCGGCCTGATAGAGCTTCAGGTCCATCGTGCAGGACTTGGTCGGCATGACGATTCGAGGGTAAACGATGCGCCAATTGAAAATAGCCTCAGTTGCTGTCCCCTGCCGGACGACGAAACACAGGCAGATTGCCGCATGCCTGTGGCTTGACACCTCCAGCTCTCAACTGGCAGCAGCTGCCCTAGCGATTCACGTACAGCTCACAACAAAAGCCTTCAGAGTGATGATGTCAACGGTGACTACCAAGTGGTGGACACGGTGTTGACACTGACAGTAGTGATGAGGTTGAAAACGACGATCAAGATGCATGAGGCTGGTGGGATGATGGGGATGACGACAACGGCAATGCAAGATGCGGCAGGGGGCCCTTTACAAGCAGAAAGCCAAGTGCCCGCAGAGCCACATTGCCAGTGGAGCCGAGATGGACATCCGTTGGCTGCAGCTTTGGAAATCCCATCGTCACACCCTGTTCAGCTCAACAGGACGTGACAGTTTCTTTCCATGCAGAGTCTTGCCACTCAGGATGTCGTAAGATGCTTTTGTGTGAAGCATGTGAGGTAGTCACCAGGCCTGCGCCTGCTCTTAGATGGCAACGTTGCAAGGCGAAGGCTTCGGTGCGGGCAGAGTTGCAACAGTTTGGCTCAGTGAGCTGAGTCAGTTCGGTTTTCGGGGTATCGACTTGAGGGCTAATACCTCGTTCCTGTGCGCGCGACGGCCCGCCGGAAATGAATCCGGCGAGAGGAAGGACAAAGACGGTCAAAACTTGTTCTTCTGGCACGGCTTCACATGGACTGGCCAGCCAACGCCTCAATCAGTACAAACCGTAGGTGGGCAACATTCCGCCGGCTTTCTGATATCTGAAAGATGCAGGCCAAAACGTCACACAAGAGGTGAAGCCTGAAGGCAGAAAAAATCCGGGGCGCAAGAAGGCAAAAGCCATCCTGCAGTTGAGGGAAGAAAGATCAAAATCAGGACGGAGAAGGAGGCCTTGAAAGGATATCCTGAGGAACCGAAAGATGCGAGCAGGATGTCTTCCGAGAAGTTTTGTATCAACACAGTGCTTGGTTGGCAGCAAAAAGAGAGAGGGAAGGAAGACACGCAAAGAGACAAAGAGCGACAAACCGATGCGGTTGGTGTTGGCCGAGCTGGAGCACTACTTGAGGAAACAGTCTTTGCATCAGCCGAAGGGATTTCACCGAAGTGTTCAACAGGTGGTGTGCTGTAGCGCGCGAAAGGGGAAGGGATTGATGCTGCATGCCTGTGACATGACTTCTCTAGAGTTGTAAGCGACATTTTCGGACAGTGCACACGTCCAGTTGGAAGCCAGCGGCACCTCGACAAACATGCCAAAGAAACGCAAAAAGAACCGCAATATCCACCAGGTCACTGCGGGTCATCTACGAGCATTCACGGCAACCTCATGCACTGTGACAGGCCTCGTACTCCTTGCACTCAAGATCCACAGTGACTTTCACGTCCGTCTTGGAACCGTCCCAGAGCTTCACGTTCTTGCAAGTTCGAATAACAAGGCCTCAGTGCAGGACTTTTCCGTGCGCATCGTCCATATATACTGGCTACCCGGCAGGTTCTTCATTGATCCAGTTGTGACCAATTCACATCTAGAGACACTTGAAAAAGACGAGCACGGGGGAGGTGTAGGGCACTTCTGGCAAGAAAGACACTAGCAAAACGACAGTCGCGCAAAGAAACCCTAGAGTCCTCCTGACTTGCTGCAGTTTCTAAAGGCCGAATTCCGAAAGGTGGCGGATCTCGATCTCCATCGCCGGAGGCTTCCGAAGCTCAGATGCCTTCGACACAGGATCTAACGATTGAGACTTGTCAAACTTTGTGCTAGGTGCTCCCGTTTCGAGGTTTGCAGAGATTTGACCAGGTAAGGATTACCAAACCGGTGGTTCTGCTGTTGCCATAGTCATGCCTCATATAAGCGTGCTATACTCTGGCGGGTCGAACCAAGGGCTGCCTCACTTTAGCAATCAGAAATCATATGCTACATGAGTTCCGCTGTTTGATGAATCTGTTGACGTTCACCACCACTGCGACGAGGAGGAATTCGGCGATTGACACCCCTAACGAAAACATGAGAGTAGTTGGCTGCATGAAGTAACAGACCTGTAAACGGAGGCCTTGATATCTGACGCTCGCACGCTGTCGATCATTTCGACCCACATCTCGATACCTGGCGAGCCAAAGTGAGCGACATGGGCAATCCCAAAGCAGGATGCATGCGGATGTGGCATGCTCCCGGCCGAGCGGCTGCCGCAGTTCTGTCCCGAAAGCTGAGGGTTGATAAGCCTTGGATCCAGACATGCATGGAAAAGGATCTTGTTGATGCAAGGAGAGAACTGACGAACACAAGCAGAAGCCACGATGGCTGGAGACTTCAACCTCAAGATACAGCAACTTTAGAGCATCGTGCAACTGTTCGGGCACGAAGTAGCAAATTTCAAGCCACGCTGACTGAAGTGAATCCTCGGGCGCTGCAAAGCAGGAAGGAACAGAAACAATCCTCTCGACAGTACTTGAACCCCCAAGTCCCCGAAATGAAAGCCCCACCCCACAAGCCCATAATCAAAATGCCCCATCACCCAAAACATAAAATGCACGTTCAAAGAAGCCCGCGATTCTCGGTGGGTACCTGCTGGCGACGGTCCATGCAGTCTTTCCAGGCTGCAGAGTGCCAGCGGTCCTGCCATAAATCACCACAATCATTGCACGTCATCTTCCTTACAATGCTCGAGGACATGCATCAAGGTATACACTCGTGTTCGAAAGCCGAATCTGAGCCACATGGAACACAAACACATATGGGACCATGCTTCATGATAAGATTCTCGTCGGGGACTCAGAATCATGCGCTTCGGTTTGGGCAATGCAAAGGCGAAGAAAGTGAGCAATCCAGATGTGTGGCGACTTGCTTCTCTTCCAGACCTTCTGGCCTCATGTCGAAACAAGTTCTTCGCTGTTGCTGTGTCCTGCTTCGATGCTACTGCCAAGGTACTTTCTACATCTACCCTCGCGCTCACTGCTGAAGCAAGGTCCTCCAAGTCGATCACAGTGCTGCCGATCAGCTTTTCGCCATTGATGGCCTCACCAAAGTGCGCCGCTGCGGTCCATGGATTCGCGAAGCTGTGCAGGGTGTTGGGTGTTTGGCAAAAGCTTACATTCCAAGAACAAAGATATTGGATAATTAGTCTTCGTTGTGTGGGCCTTAAAGGCAAATAGGGGCAGCCTGAGGATACAAGGAGAGAGACACGACACCCGTGTAAGCGAACTACCCTCCCGCTCCGAGTGTTTGAGGAGACCCAACACGAGAACCCGAATGATGCCCGCCCCAAGCCCAAAACCTCAAGCTTGGAGATCTGGCGTACGCCATACCTTGCAAGGCATCGTCATGCCCCTCCCACTTCGACCCGCTCTCAGTGAAGCCATTTCAGTTGTGTCTCCGAGCCGGGCCTCACCCAATGTATCTTGGAAGTCGAAGAGGTCCACCTGTCAGGGTGTTACGTAGAGTCTTAGAAGTCCTCATGGCTGCTGCACCGGCTATACTGCTACGGCCTACATTCTGTTGGCAAATCGTGGATGTCCTCATCTCTGCAATTGGAATGCCTTAAGCTGCCAGAGGCTTCACGCAGTGCTCGGGTATGGTATCCAATCATTGCTCCTCATCCTATGGATCGTGATCGTACAGCATCTGCGCACTGGACCATCCCAAAACCCGGCCCACCTGTAGCCGGGACTCGGCAGGCATCACGATGTCCCGCTCCTGTGCCAGCAGCCGATCCCAACCCCAAAGGTCAGGAGAATGCAGCGCCAGGCATAAGTTCGCAACCACAACATCCTTAAGTTCTTAAGCCTGCAGCCCAAAGTCTCGGTCGTTACTCGCGGCCATGCGCCGGAATAAGGGGAATCGAGGCTCATCGCTTGGTTCGGGATGACACATCTGGATGCATCTGGGGGTTCGGAGAGAAGCAAGACCATGAGCCATCATGCTGTTCCATCCAAATATCACACGTAGGCACACTCATTCACATACACACATGTGTATATATATATATTATGTATATATATATATATATGTGTGTGTGTATGTATATTGGGGATTTCTCCCCCACTCTCTCCCTCTCTCTGATTTACAACCACCGTCTCGACAGCCTAAGCTCGGATTTGAACCGTGCCTGGGGCTTGCTCAAGTCGCCGATGTCGCTGTGCTAACGATCGCATCTCTACTCTGACCAGTGACCTTGCACAGCAGCCCAACCCTTGGCCGCGCACCTCCACCCTGTAGAAGCTGGGAACGTTCGTGTTGTACTGGGCCATGTTTCCTTGGCGCAGGGCACAAAAGGCTCTGTCAGACCTCATCAAAATTTGAACCCGGAGAATCATGCTACAGCACGACTCGATATTCGCATCGGTGGGCACCATCCGCAAGAGACTCCCAAGCCTTGAGGCATCAAACCCTTGGTCAACTCGCGGCTGCAGATAACCCTGACAAGGCTCTCATGGACACCACGATACTGTTCCCAAGCTTGTACCTGAGTGCTGACCGGCACGATGCAATCCGGAGATGGGGGTGCAAAAAGGACTTGGCTCGGGTTCACCCTGGATTTCGTTATAACCTTTCCCGACGATTCCAGTCAGGCACTGGGTTTCCGAAGATATCTTAGAGGGATATGCGCCCAAAAACTTCCCAACTGTCGTTTCGTACTTCTGGCATACCCGAAAACTCTCGGATATATGCGAATTTGACCCCTCCCATCCCAGACTACGACTTCGAGGACGAAGAAGACAACGACGGCTGCTGCTGCGGCACTTTGCCTTCACTACAACCACCACTACCCTTGACCCTGCTACCGCTACCAGCTACCACTTCGATTACGACTACGATTACCAGTATAGCTACCACTACTGCCACCACCACCACCACCGCCACCACCACCACCACCACCACCACCACTACTACTACTACGACGATTACGACTACTATTAGTCCAGCAGCACGAGAGGACGATTACGACTATTGTTACTTACCACAACCGGAGGAAAGAAGGAAGGAAGAAAGCCAGGAACGAAAGAAGAATGTACAGAAGGAAGGAAGGAAGCAAGGAAGGAAGGAAGACAGGAAGGAAGGTCGGAAGGAACAGGAAGAATGAGATGAACAAGGTAAGAGAACAAACTAACGACATAGAAGAAGGGAGTAATGCATGAAACAAAATCAGAAGAAAACCAGAAACAAACGAGGCAAGAAAACATCGCATGAAGGAAGGATGGAAGGAAGGAACGAAGAAATAGGCGAAGTAAAGAAGGAAAGACAACGTAAAATACATATACATATGTATTCTCTCTCTATATATCCACCTTGGATAAAGTTATGACATATGCCCAGTGGGAAGTGTGCATGTGGGCCTCATGCCTGTGCGTGCGCGTGGCGGTTTGCCGGCTTGTTGTGGTGCGGTGCCGACTAAATTTGTGTGCTTTCCAATCTCATGCCGGCCGCGTCGGCCGGGAACCACAAACGCATAGTACCGTCTAACGCTTACTTGAGCACTCGGGTATATCGATGGTGAATCGCGCTTACTGCGCTGGCGCCAAAGCGCCGTGTAAAATTCTGCTCCTGCCGCCCGTGCTGTGGAATCTTTCGGCCTTCAAATGTCCCAGCAGGGTCTTGGGGGGCTGTGTGGTACCTGCCACAGCGCCGTGCATATCTTTTGGTGAACTCGTGCTCCTGCTACAGCCTGGTTTGCAATGTAGGCTTTAGGTTATGTGGTTCTTGGGCATCATGTTGCATCTCACCGCTGGAGGCTCTTTCTGTCACAGGCATGTCGAAGGTGAGGGGGTTGCTTTCACTGGCAGGCAGCACTACGAGAGCTTTTCCGCAGAGCCATATCTGGCTGCAACTCAGCTGCTATTCGGCAGACTCGTTGAGCACAGAAGCAAGCACTCGGTGGGTTTGTCTACGTGAACATTCCCGATGCGGCTGCGATCTGGTAGTAGCTTCAGTGCTGGTTCCAACACACGAAGGCCCTTCCATGACCAGTTGCATCGTCTTTCTGCAATATTGAGGCGATGAAGTCTCATCGGAGTTGAAGCATGGTTCTGTGTTATAATGATATGGCTTTCTGATATCTCTTGTAATTATGCTAGAATCGGTGTGACGGACAAAGTGGTTGATGATGTTGCAGTCGTGTTGGTTGCTGCATTGACTTCAGCGGCCATGCGTTAAGAACAGACCCCAGCTATGTCATTGAGGCGGCTTTGCATCGGGTTTAGGGTCAAGGGTGAGCCTCTCCTAATCCGACTCAGCCTGGTTCGCTCCTTACACGAATGGATGTTTTTTTTTTGTTGCGTCCCTTGTTGGGGGTTCCCGTTGCCTTAGGCCCTAAACGCTCGAGGCTGAACCGTTGCAGTGACACTGGGAATAGCACCTTAGGGTTTTGCGTCATGGCCTGAGGCGTTTGGACTCTGCTGCCTCGATTAAGGGTTTACAGTTTACACCCTGGAGTTTAAGGCCTAAGCGCCAAGCCGCAAACCTTAAACTTCCTAGACGCTATACTCTACACCCAAAAACCCTGCAGTTGTACAGCTCAAATGCCCTCAAGCCTGAAGGCCTTACAGTAAATCCTCAATTAAGGCCCTTGGACCCTGACACAAGGATGCACCAGCACCAGGTGTTGCAGCATCATTGTTAGCAGTTGCTTGCTGCCGGATTGAGTGTGTGTTTTCATTACTTCTGGTTTTCTAGCTTTTTTCACTCTTTGGCTGTAGTTCGCTGTTCAGTAGTTTTCACACGGTTTGTTGAGATGATGGAGTGAATCACAAGTTAATCGGTAAATCAGGTGAATCAAGTGTTTTCGCAGTTTAACGTCACAGCAACGTGCTGCCAAACGATGGAGCGACACTGCAGCAAGGCTACGGGTAAAGTCGTGAGTGCCGAGGAGTTGAAGGAGCTCGCAGCGACTGGCCAGTCGTCTTGATCCAACAGTCTTAGTCTCTGTCCACTGCTCCTTTCTGTCCTTTTCCCGATTCTCATTCGAGCGACTTGCACCATTTGATTCTCATTCGAGCGGTTTTGGTCCTGTTTCTCACACTTTCTAGTCCTTTGACGCGTTTTCTCGGGTCTGATCCTGTTTCTCGAAGTCTCGTTTTCGTCCAATTCTCCACGATTGGAAATGAAGCAGTTCTCACTTGACATATAAGACCCAAAAAGCATGATGCCATGCATCGCCGAGGAACTCCTGTGTGTCTTGCGAGCTTCGAAACAGCTGGCTCAACCTGTCAGATGCAAGGATTCTTGATCGACTTGTCACTGGCCGGGCAAAAAGCCTTCAGGGACCCCAATCAAGCTAGGCCGCTCCGCGCCGCAGTGTTGTGTTGATTTGGAGTCTTTTGGTGATCCAGGTGGGGATCTTTGCGAGATTGTGCGACCTGATTGCTCCAGTCCGCCTTCAGAGCGCAGCGTGCGGAAGCCGCGAAGTACCGCCCAGCACGACCATGAACTCACGACTTGACTCGAAGCCGTCTTGCAGTGTCGTTTAATCGCTTGACACTGGTTCGTTCTGTGAAACTCACTGAACCGTGATCGACGTTGCCGAAACAACAGGGCCACATGAAAAATGAAAACTAGTCAGTTTTGACAAAAGTGTGATTGACTGAAGATACGGAACATAGTGCGCATATCAGCATAGCATCTTTCCTTCTGTCAAGAGGTAAATTGAACTGAGCTGTGAAGGCGGCTGTTGCGAGTCGATTGAACTCGTCTGCGCCCGACGTCTTGATTAAAACCCAAGCCCAAGTGCTGGCCATTATGACAGCCAGGTCCCCTGCCTTGGTGGCACTCGTTCGCACAGCGCACCGGGGTCCGTCAACCGAGCAGAGTTAAGCGCTGGACGGACATAATTAATGCTGCTGCCACCATCGCCAAAGTGAGTCCTTCCCTCATGATCAAACGGCCTGTGCGTTGAAATCATGTCCTCGAGTCCTCCTATGTCGATCCACACATCGCGATCGAGCTCTGTTTTCCGATCCTGGCATCTCCCCACGTGGTTGGATGCAAAATTTCCGGTGGATGTTTCCGTTCCGGCGTTCAGTGCTGTCCCATCAAGCCTCAGGTTTAGGGAATTTGTTATCTGCCTACTGCCACTACCAGACAACGTACGAGATTCTGAGCGCCGAAGAGGCCCAGCGGAAGGCCACGAAGGATTGGCCCAGATTGTGCCTAGGTCCTAGGTGCAACGTCCGGGGCTCGCTGAACCGAGCAGAGCTGTTCGCGATTTGCGTTGGGCGAGCCAGGCGCTGATGAATGAGCTGGCAGTATCTGGCCGAAGCAGGGTGTACTCCATTCAAAAGGCCTTCGTCCCCAATCATGTTGCGCCATGCCGCACTGCAGTGGGCGCACTTTCTGCAGTCTCCAGGTTCATCACGACAGCCAGGTCGCCTTCATGGCGGCCATGGTTAGCAGTGCTTCCGCACTGCCACACACCATCCGCACGTTGGCAGCAATCGGGAACGTGCTTCGGCATCCTGGGTCACAAGAGACTGTGCAGGTGGGGATGTTGAAGCAGCTGGGACAGCACTGAAGAACTACGGCGCAGTTCTCATCAACACGACCGGGCACGTGGTGGGCGCTGATGAGTTCAAGGAACTGGCTGTCGCTGCATGGCAGGCGGTTGGCCAACCTAGGACCACGGAGGAGCCGCTAGGCGGTTTCGGCTGTAGGATTCTGAGCCGGACATGTCGCAACAACATTGTGGATATTCTGCACATTGAGTCTGCGATATATGCAACCTGTGTCAAAAGTGATCTTTCGTCCGGCCCAGATTGTGCCTAGGCACGACGGCCTCAGCTCGGTCAACCGAGCGGAGCTGTTCGACGGCATCTACGACGATGCCTGTCCCACCGCACAGTGACCAGTCCTACTTGTTCCTGGTGCTGCGCTTCGTGGCCGAGGACGGTCCCTGGCGTTTCAGATGCCTGCATGCTGAACGCCATCCGGCACGGGCAGCCCGGGGACACTCCTCGACGGGCTTGTTCCGTTTCCATCAATTCTGGATGAACCGAGAACGAGCTTTGCTTGGTTGGCTTGCAAATGACTGCAGGTGCGAGAGAGAAAACCTTAAACTCGACAGCCATACACTACCCTTAGGCTAAATGCGCATGAGGTTTCCACAAAAACACTTCGAGAAGGGCTTGAAGGTTTAAGAGTATTCGGATGTAGAGTGTCACAGTGTAATGCAGAATATGTTTCCTGACACTGCGCAACCTTATGCCCGAAATCTTAAACCCCAGGTGCGTGATACCGGGCAGACCCTGGAGCCATTTCTCTTGCTGCCCGTTGCTGTGCCGTGTAAGCCTTAGGCAGCGATGTAAGTAGAAGCACCATCACCCCAAAATCCCCAACACATAGCCAAACCTTATAAGCTAAACTCGTAGAGCTTGAAACGATGAGCATTTTAGACGCCCTGACAATCCGTTTGCTTTGAAACCCTCAACCTAGTCCAAAGCCCTAGCCCGTAGACCCGAAAGCCCCAAACCCCACGGCTGAACGCCCGAAAACCCGACCAGACCCTGCAACTCGCAAAGGTCACCAACCTCATTCCGGATGTTTTGTTCGTCATGATAACGTTGAGGCCGGTCGAAATGACGCATTGTCGGGGGATGCAGAAAGGGTTTGGGAGCCAGATGAAGCAATGATCTCCATAGCCTCGATGTTGAAGCTTTTGTTTTCTTGCAATTAAGTCAGTCGGCATTTTTTTATCAGCCTGAACCACCCCCGTTTTCAAGCGTTTGCTTTGTGATTTGGGTGCAACACAAAGAATTTTCGAAGTGGAAAAGGCCACGGGCACCGGTCGGGTGGCGGAGCGCCCTGAGGTTTACGGTGACTACATATGCACTGCAGTTTGCCGTGGAGACTAGCAGTTTCTGTTCCGGGAGATGCCGACTTTTGCACAATCAAGGCATGGCCTCGGCACGCTGAAAGATGGCTTCCGAGGAACGAGAACTGCGATCGCGACCACCCGTGACATTGAACACCGGTCAACGCAACCTGTCAGCGCCACACTACTTGCCCCAAGCAGCCTTCCCAATAGAATCCCAGCGAGTTCACACTGCCCGGGGCAAACGTGTTTGGCAGACGGAGGCGATGCCACAATGTGCGATGAAGTACGACATGGTGTTTCCACCAAAGAGGTTTCAACGACGGCTCATGGCGATGCTGTCCCGCCGTTGTTCACGTCTCGACATACAGACAACTCAATTAGCGGTGATCGATTTGCAACGACACCCGCATCTCACAGGGCATGCGGTCCGTGGAAGTTTTGCTCGTTCTCAGAAAATCACCAGGGGATGTTTGGTGCCGTTTTTGACAAGTAATCCATAGTTTACAGAAGCATGATGGTCCTCCCATCGTTGTACTAAGTACTACATGAAATTCTTGGGAGTTCATGGCTCTTTCACAACAAGGCCGGAACACAGGGCATAGACTAAGGTGGTGGGAGCATGCCAAAGCAAGAACCATGGGAATGCAAAGCTGAAGCATGTTGGAGCACAAAACCCAGAAATGGGATGAGTCGCTCAAATCTTTCGGAGACAATACTAGAAGATGTGAGGCACAGGATCTTGTGTGCAGGCTTATCATCATTTCAATTCCCTGGTTCCACCAACTGTTCAACGCTGATCAATATACCAGCGCCTTCTTGAACGCACCACGGCGTCTGCACAGACCCGCCCGGTTCTGACAGGGTCGTCTACACCAACATCAAGGAGATGATACCCGAGCATCAGCAGCAGAAAGGTGGAAGGGGCACAGGCAAGAGCAGCGTGTCGAGGATCGAGGTATAAGTATAAGCTTGTCTCATTGAGGAGCAACTGCAACTGCTAATGGGCAGGTTTCCTGTGAGGCGGCAGCACGAGTGTAGAGCTTTGCACTCTATCGTTGCATGGTGCGTGCTGATTTTGACCTGGTGACTTGCTACACGCATCTTGCAACACTAAGCTGGCAGCCTGCTCCGCTCCAAAAAGTTTGGAGGATGCCGCATGGCTGAATGCTTGAGAGAGATGCTCTCAGCTCAAGGCGATAATGGCTGGCCTGGACGGCTTCATGAACTACTGGAGCTTCTGGAAGGCTGCAGGGTGTCGGCCTGTTCTCAGATTAGGCTATGCTCAGCACCTCTTCACCTTCGGTGACCGTGCTACTGTGCTAGGCGACCGACACTGCTTGTGTGATCAGCCAGTGGAAGATTGTTGAGACAAGTAGCCGTAGCTCAGAGCTCATGGCTGATGAGCTGATGCTGTCCGCAGCTGCGCCTGTTCAAAGCCTGACTGTCGAGGTTCTGGAGTGGATTTCCCTGATTTTCGGCGGCGTCTGCTTCGGGATGTGGTGCCTTTGCATGACAGCTGCGCATTCCCCTGGTTGCTTCTGGGAAGATTGTTGGGCCCGCAGCAGCCTTGCAGACTGTTCGTCTGTAGCAGTTCGCCATCCCTGCATGCAGGGTGACGGTCTTCTTTAAGATTACCATCGACCTCCCTGCGGCCCTGGAGACGCTGCCCAAAGGACGGAGAACTTCAGCCTCGGTTTGGGTTTGGGTTTGGAGTTCAGGATTCGGGCGCAAGCCTTGCAATCGAATGTCACCTGTGCTTGAAATCCAGGTGATGCCCATCACATTACTATTACTCCTGGGATGAGAAGTCTTTTGTTGGATAGTTCGGATCCTGCCAAGTTCACCTGCCAGAGGAGAATTCGATCGGCAAGTCCGGCTGAAGGGGGCTTTGGAGGAAAAGAAACTGGCCTACTTGACCTTCCAGGAACTTGAGGCAAATGGCCTGAGAGAAAGGTCTGACGTCAGACACCGTTGATGTCTTTCTCTTTTGGCTTCACTGCACTTTGAAGCTGAACCCTGGACGGAGCTTCTGTGCGTGTCAAGAAGAGCAGCTTTCCGGAAGAGCACAATGCAGGGTCAGGATCGGAGAGCTACTCCGACGGGAAGCTTTAATACTTTAATCAATTGCGATTTCGAAGCCTGCCGGACCCCATTTACTTATAACACCGCTCAAGCCCCTGCAGGCCATAATGAGTCTCGGCGAAATTGAAGAGAAGCTCAATGTCATCATGACAGCCCCTGGCCGGGAAAGTTCTATCGTCGACTTGGTAGCGGCCACACTGGCACTGACCCCCACTTGGAGCTATTCGTCTTACTGTAGACTGCGATTGCAATTCTTGCAATTACCCGCGCTGTTACGCCGTGACGTGGAAGTCTCAGCGGTCGGGGTGGTAGCAGAGCAAAGTTTCGTGTCTCAGTGGGGTCATGGTTCAGAGCGGCGAATGTTTTGCATGACCTGTTTCACGGAATCAGCCTGAGTGCCAAGTTAAGGAGCTTCCCACTCATTGCTGTCATGCCTTCTAGTTCAGCCGTCGTGTCGCTGAGATTGGAAACTCCATCCGCGACGACTCCGAGCTCATGCGGAATATGTTCGCCTTGAACTTTATGGTGGCTCGTAAACCAGCAAATATTATCAAAGTCGGCTTGGCAGTGACAACGTAGCTCAGTCAGTCGCGACGTGTTCAGCAATGGCGGCTGGCAGCTGGCATTGCCGTCGTTCCTAAATCTGCCATTGTTTGAGATTAGTTTGTTTCCCATCTTTAGCAACGGCACGGAAGGAGCCCGGACTGTTCTGAGCCCGTGGCTCGCCGGTTCGCACAGAGTGCGATTCTTGGCTGTCCAGTTCCGCTTCTCCTTGAGGTCGTGGTCTTTCGCTTCTTCAAGTCCTTTCAGGCTCGCGTTTCTGGACTTCTCCGAGGAAGGGGTCTCTGGTGCGGTGCAAATTGCAGTGCCCTGCTAGGCCAACCCTTGGCTGGACATCGTGGTTCAGACTTTGGTGCACTGCACGCCCAATGTGGTGCCTGGGCAACACACGGTCGGATGCGAATTTCGCAAGCTGTGCTAACCAGCATGATACGGGTCCGGTCAAAATTTGCTTCTAGTTCACCACTGATAGCATGCTAAGTTGGGGCCATGGACGTCCGGCACTGGTACATGCTACTAGGGGAATAAGGAACTGGTGCTGACAATTCCAAGTCGTAAGTCTGGGCGGTGCGCCTGCGAACCCGTGGCATGAACCCTACACCCGCGCTTACTTCTGTCATCTTCATGAAGCATTTGTTTTGCAAAGCTTTGGCTTCAGGCACACTTTTTCCTGGTCTTCTCGGCCGTCTTCACGTGCTATGCCTTCGCGGGCCACTTCCTGCTGGGGAATGTCTTGAAAGGCGTGTGCACATTGATCTAACGGTCCTTGTCTTCGTATAAAACGACCTCAAGACGGAAAGTCATGGGCCCGGGGCTGATTGCTATGGGTCCGCGAGGGGACAATGAAAATCCATGAAACTGTCGCAACAGACTCGGGGCATGTCAGACTTGTAAAGTTGTAAAAGACATGTTATCATTCCGCAGGCAGGTCCCGAGTCCCGAGCCCTTCATCGCACCATGTCGCAGCCCAACCGGCCTCAGTGTGAGAATGTGTCAGTTTTTGGAAATCGTAGTATTAGTAGGTTCTCTGCGGAAAGATCCGTCAAAGAAAGCCGGCGAGGCTTCTCAGGGCCATGACCCGCAACAAGCAACAAACAACACCATCGCCGCCGCCAACAGCAACGGCACCAGCAAAAAGCACCAGCACCGGCACCGGCACAGGGACCGGCAGCAACTGTAGCAGCAGTAGCAGTAGCAGCTTCCAGGAGCATGTTGGCTTAAGGCTTAAGTTTAAAGGTTTCCGGTGTCGGAATGAGGATTTCAGTTTAGGGGTCAACAGTGCTAGGGCCGCTAGGGCCTGGGCGAGTCTAGAGCCAGCCTGCAGTCCCGGAATGAAAACTCTGAGCCAGGCTACTCAAATGCTCCGTCCGCCTTGTTCTCGCGCTATCGGTCGAGCGTGGGCGCGGCAGAATTACAGGACGTTCGCAAGCATTGTCGTGCTAGCCGTAGACAGTGAACCGGGACGGGAGGCTTTGCAAGTGCTTCAACTCCGGTCATCGAGACCTTGCGGTTCTGCTTTCGCGGGCCTTAAGGGCTTTGCAGCCATGCGATGGATCGGAGCAAAATCAGTGCGTCGGAAAGCTAGACTGCCTGGGTCCATGCACCTAGAATGCGAACAGGGTTAAAACGATTTTGGCTTTTGCATGACAGCATGCGTGGATCCTCTTGTGCTCACTGGGTCAGCGCCCTTTCAGGAGCTACCAATCGCCCAGCAGGCTGTGGGTGTGCAAGTCACTGCCCAGTGAACATGGTTTCATGTCGGTGCGCAACTGCCAGCGGCTTTCGTGAAGCAAAGTGGACTCTAATCTGATTGAAGGTCTTGGGCTACACCTGGGTGCCTTGGGCACAAAGTCATTGGTATGTATAACTGGCAGGATCTGGCCTCTTCGGCATCCGCCCCACAGGCAACCCTGTGCTTTGATGGCCGAGTCCCGAAGTTTACACCGGCCGTGTGATCCCAGGTGCTGTCATACCAACTCCTGGTGGGCTCACTCATCTTGAGCATGCTGTGCCATGTCCGGAGAGCAAGGGATGGCAGGGGCCAGCGGACCACCGCTGAAGCGTTCTTGAAGCGCCACCTCAACTAGACCAACCTCCCTGGACAAGGATTGGAATCGTTTTTGGCTCCTACTACGCGGTGCAGTCGGCGACCCGCCGGCTTCCAAGTGGGTGTCGAAGTGGGACATGCCATATGCTGAAGGGTGACAGAGCCCAGTCCCTTCTGAGGCAAACCTATGACTCTGTGGACGCAGGCGCCTGGCAGGGATCAGGAAGAGCGTTGAGAGAAGGGCGCGAAACGTACTTGCCGAGGTGCGGAAGGCATTTCAAACAGCGGCAGAGACCCGCAGTTACCTAAGCCTCTGGAGCTTGTGTCCTGGCACATCATTGGAGCTGGATGCCGTAGTACTAGACCAGCACGGGATGGCGAAACCAACAGGACCGACAACAGCGACAATCTCGGAATCTCAGGATTGTGCTAATGGAGGATGATGCTGCTTGGTGGCAGAGTCGGTGCCGTGCGCAGGCATACATAAGTCCTGAGCGAGAAGTGGTGAACCGACATCAGATCAGTTCTGTTCTATCCACATCCTGCCGTCGGCACCCTTTCTTCGACCATGGTGCATTTTCAGTGTCAGCAATTGTGTTATCGTGGATTCGGGTCCCAGCTGGGCTGCTGTCTGCAAGTCGTCTTTGGTCGCAACCAGTCAAATCTACATATTGACCGCCATTGGCTCATTTATTTGTGCAAGGACTACCCAGCCCATCCCAACAAGATCGCCACGTCGCAGTCTTTGAAGAAGGCCTTTGAGAAGGAAAAGATGTCACGGCAGAGCCTTGGTTCACGATGCTGTTTGTTGAGCCGTGCTTGTGCAATCATTCTCGGTAAGCGACGCGGGCGACTCACTTGAAACGAGCCGTTGTGGAGCACACAGGCCCAAGAGCAGAGGTCCAACAACAGATGCATGCCTGCGAGTCTGCATGCAGCTGTTTTAAGAGAGGGAGGGAGGGAGAGAGAGAGAGAGCGAGAGAGAGAGAGAGTGAGCGGTTCCACCGTGGGGGGCCCCTCCGTGACCTCTCTCCACACTTCTTCTTTGCCCCCCCAGGGGACAACCAACTTGCCCTTTTCTCTCCGCCTGCCTCCCTTTCTTCCGACGCATTGCTGACAGGGGAGTTCGGCACCCTTGCGCTGCAGCTCGCGAAGGCCCTGTACCGTGAGATCGGTGAGTTCAGTTCAGGAGGGCAACCGCAGCGGGTCGACTTGCTCAGGGACGCCGTCAATAACTAGCTGAACGATATCGGCGGCACTTCCTATCCTCGCCTTCCGGGGAGCGATTCCCGACTACTAGGACGGGTCGTAAGAATACCCTCGGTGTGCATCGTGCCACTTTCTGCAGGACACCGAGCGCAATACCTTTGCCTACACTATGGCTCCTAAAAGGGGAGATACCCCCAAGGCCTTTCAACGGGGATACCCCCAAGTGCTTGCCATGTGCGAGGGGCCCCTCCTCCATGGCGGACATGAGCGCAAGGACCCGACGTGTGTACTGCACGGATTTACTGGCACCACCCCGAAGGAGCTTGGTTCCTATATCTTCCAGCAGCATATCGACTCCGAGGTTCAAAAAATTCTTTTTGGCGGGGACCCTTCCTCGAGCTCTACGCCCAAGGCAGCTGGTCCAAGGTTGGCACCGGCACCAGGGGACGCACCCCGTGCTGCAGCAGAAGAGGCCCAGGAACCGTGCCAAAAGTGCTTCAAAGGCGAATTCACAATTTGCAAACGAGATCCACAACAGATCACGACAGTTACAGGTGGAGACACCTACAGTCCAGGAAGAGGAAGAGAAAGTGTCTGGTGCGCTACTGGAGGACCCCCTCCAACAGCTCTTCGGGATCCCCCACCGTCCCCGCCTTGGCCACCGACACGAACGCCAATCCGCCATGGCCAGCGCCCCTGCTGACCTCGTACCTCCACCTTTACAGACAACTCAGGGCGACTTCAGCTCCGGAACCTTGGGCGCGGTCCCCAACTGGTCCCGAGTAAAACCGGTCACCTTTCGACCCTGACCGACACCAACGCCCTGCTCCGCCCCACTTACGCGATCAAGGAGAACCACGACCTGTGCCCGAGAGCCTTTTGCTGACGGGGGGCCACTGCAAGCTCCTCCACCTCCGGACAGCAAGGATGCTTCCACGGAGGCGACCTCGCAATCGGCTGCCGTCACAATGAGGACCCGGTGAACTACTGCCAGAATGAAGGTGTGCCCGGCAACGACAACCTCGATCTGGGGGACGACGACCCTGGGGAGCAAGCTCAAAATGTCTGGGAGTTACTGGAACCCCTGCCTTCGGGGTGGGAACGTGGTGAGGATTTTACCTACGGATTGCATCCCTCCACGGACGTGTTCGATGACCTGTCGCATGACGATGACAACAATGCCGATGACGCCCTGATCCTTGCAGGATCAGATGATCCAGAGCTTGACGAGGCTTGTGAAAAAGGAGAGCCAGAAGAACCCGATCAGCCGTCGAGCCCAGACCTTGACGATGGGGTGGAAGCAAACATAGGGGTGGCTCCCCCTGAACCTTCAGGACCTCCACCTGCCCTTACAGCTCCACAACGGGCCAGACTTCACGCTCTTCTACAACAGCGAGATCCGCGGGGGCGAGCCCCGTAAGACTTGCATGAACACTCCATAGATGCTGAGATGTGGAAGGCATACAGAAAGGCCATGAAAGAGCAGTACTGACGGCATCGTAAACGAGAACGAGCATTTGGTACTTGGGCAAAGGACAAACCAAAAGCCGCAGCCAAGCCCAGCCGGGGAACTGCCCGAAGAGCCGTCCGAGATCTCCTTTGCCCAGACGGAGAAGTGCCCCAACCGCCAACAGGGGGTCACCTCTGCCACGACGTCGCTGCCTACTACCTGAACACAGTGAGCAGGGTGAGATCTGAGAGAGGCCTCGAGTTGCGGGGGAATGTACAGGCAGGTACCTTCCGCTCAAGACAAACTTTTCGTCATCTCGTCTTTCGCTTTTCGGGCAGTGGCTTGCACGTGTAACTCATTTCTCTCCAAAGGCTGTACAATCTCTCCATCCTTTTCAATGCTGACAAGCGGGAAACCCCATAGGAAGTTTTCTTTCCTGTACCACAAGACGGGCCGCCGGAGCCTACCCAATCACATTTGCCGTGCCCCCGCTCGGGGCTTCAATTCAATGCCACTCGCCCTGTTGCAAGCAGCTTGGCACGGGGCCCTCTCCTTCTGCCTTTCGCCGTCATGTCAACTTTCCTCTCGGAGAGCCGCCCCTTGCCCAGCTGCTTCTTTTTTATGGCACCTCGATTGCCCGACACGAACTCCAGAAGCCTTGTGGAGCTCTGCGTTTTCCACCAACTGTAGCATGATGCCTTGGTGGTGTTGCTTAACTTTCCAGTTTGTCCTCCGCAACGTACGGGGGCGCACTTGCGCGCGGGCAGGGGAGTCTCTCTCCTGTCCCTAGCCCTGGCGAAAGAAAGAGAGAGAGAGAGAGAGACAGAGAGAAAGAGAGAGAGAGACAGAGAGAGCGAGAGAGACAGAGAGAGATGTAAAGTTGTTTTAGGGCTCGAATTGCCTGTAGTGTCAGGAACAGGGACAGGAACATCCGGTCCCAGCACCATAGGTGCGACTTTTTGGGAGCCATTGGGAAGTCCGTGGGCTCACCTAGCTGGCACCGTGCCACTCGTTGGAAAACAAAGAAGGCGGGCCCCTTCACAAGCCCCTTACCAAGTGCCAGAGGCGGGCGCTGCTGTTCCACCACGACACACCGCCAAACATTCGAGACCTTCCACAAAGACAGCAAGACGGCGAGGCGAAAAAGGTGAACAGTCCGACCAGTCGGGCCAAATGCTGTCATGATGGCAGCAGCCTTGTCAGTACGTGACATGCCATGCTCCACACGTCAAGAATCACAACAGACGAGCTGGCCGCACCTCAGGACGCGAAGTAGTTCTTGACACTGCCAGGCATATTCTCCGACCTGCAGGCAGGACTGGCAACAACAACTACACGACCACAATGTTTCTTCTCTGATTTGGTCACAGAAACCAGGTTTCCGACCTCTGCTGAAAGTGGCCAGCTTTATCCACCAAAGACACGGACCTCGGCAAGCAAGGCAAGCGGCACGCAAGCACGTTTCATCTTGACAGCCCCAGCGGTGTTTGTTTTTAATCACGACACAGCGAGGCGAACCTCCTAATGGCTGGTCATCATCATTCATTGACTGTGAAACAACTGGGTCAAGAAGGCGGATCGGATGCACTTGCACGTCTGTCTGGCCTGCTAGGGTTTGTCACTTCCGCTGTCCTCCTCCTCCTCACCATCATCCTCTTTTTCGGTGTGTGGATCCGCATCTTCAGCATCGGCATAGGCATCCAATTCCGACCACAGGAGTGGTCGACCGGCGAGGTGCTTCTTGGCCGCCTCGAGGTGGATGTGGGAGGCCAAAACTTCCTGTGCGCCTCGTTCCAGGCCAGGCCTGAGTAGTGCTGAGCTCAGAAGACTAATAAACAATGAAATAAGGCAGCCACCGCACTTCAGCAGCAGGAAACTACCAACCAGGCAGAACAAAGGTTTATAAGACTACTACTCACAGATTGCCACCCGGAAACCAACGTAGCGAACGGACCGAGTTAGACAGGCCAAGGACAGACCGCATCCAGGGGTGAAATCCACGACAGCTTTCGGCTGCATTGCTGCCAAGACTTCCAACCACCACCCCACCGGGTTCTTCTCACGCCAAAACAATGGCAGTTCCTTCGCAGATCTCCACGACCCGGGTTTCTCCGAATGGGACGGGGCGAGACATGGGAGCAAAATGGTTCTGGATACCAATACTAGCGTGGAGCGTGCAATGTGGCTGGGAAGGCACCTGGGAAGCACCCTGGCAAAGGACGCGAGGAGGGCCACGATGCGTCAGTCGGAGTTTTCCCGATCACCGCCCAATTCCGAAAAACAAAGCCAGAGCCAGCAAGCCCAGAGTCGGCTGCAGGGTCCTCGGCAGACACAGATCTTAGCGAGCTCTCAATGTGGCGAGAAAGCCGGAAACCAGACTACAGAAGCTCCTGACGGACCACACAAGCATGGAGGACATGTGGCAACGGTATCATCTGGTAGATCACAAAAAAGGATACCTTCGAGAACGAGCCACCTCGAAGCCATGGAAATGTCCGCCCACGACACTGAGATTGCACGCAAGGGGCAAGAAGATGCCAGGGAGGCGGTCTGTGCTACGGTGCTAAGCGAAGTGGCTGCAGAAGACGCGGAGACGAAACCTACCATGGACACGGAATAGGATGCCATGCTGCAGGATTGGGAAGCAGAACAGCGAGGAATGTTCTACGCTGTGCTCTACAGGATCAACAGCTACAGCACCCACGCGAAAGCGAGCCGGGAGGTGCAGCTGGTGCGCCGGCAGCAGAGCTAGGCAATACGGGACCTGCCGCGCATGCAGCAACCTTCACTGCCAGACCAGATGGAAGTGTGGGTACTTCGAATCCGTACTCAAGCCATCTTCCTGGCACACAAGCCAGGGTGGACCCCTACCTAGCTTCCTCTCCTAGTACAGCTGTCCCCACAGCGACAGTTGCGGTGGCAGGCGAGCGAAGGACATCGCCCATCCATCCGGTGCAAAGAGACCTGAGCCTTGTCCGCACCTTACATCTACAGAAGCACCTCGACAAGGAATGAAGGCTTGCCACCCCGGCTGGACGTTCAGAAGCAAAGATTGCCTTGGCCGAGGCCAAAGCTCAGGCGGCCCAAGCAGCCCAGGCCGCCCAGTCGGCCCAAGACACTCCTC